TACATAAATTGCATATTGACTACATACTTTCCTTTTGTTTTAAACTGAGTTATGGCTGCTGGACACATCTCAAACTTGACTTTTTCAAATATCTCTCAATTTTAAGTGAATAAAAGGGTGCATGACACCCTTTATATGCTATAAGTATAAGATATCAATTGTTAGTATTGTATATTATATATAGCATATACTACTTGCTCAACACCTGTGGCTGAAGTCAGTTTCAGGTCCTGATTTGTTTTTTTACTTATCAAAGTTAACTTACAAATCAAAAATAGCATTTGCCACTACAACTACTGTAAAATAATTGATTTAATATATGAAGTTTGATTTGCTGGTAACTTTAAGTCTCCTAGCCTCAAGGAAAGTATCTGCTTTAATCGTTAAAGTTAACCGATCTATATTTGTGATTTACCATACCCCTTTTGGTACCCCCAGAAACCCACTTTCGGTCAAAGTTTTACCTTAGTTTTTCCGCATGTCATACAAAAGGACAGCTTTGAACAAAATAAGGAGATGAAAATCCGAATATACCGGGTCCAAAAAAGGGCCTTATAGACACCCTTCCTTTATCACAACATTTGTATTGCTCTTAAAGAAGAATAACATGTATGTATGTTTTTTTGTGATATTTCGAAGGCTTTTGATCGGGTTTGGCATAAGGGTTTGATGGTTAAGTTAAAATCCTACGGAATTGTTAGTGAATTATATACCTGGTTAGAAAATTATTTATTTCATCAGCAACAAAAAGTTTTCTTAAATAATTCGTATTCCCAATTAGGTTTGAACGAAGCAGTGGTTCCTCAAGGTTCAATTATTGGACCGCTATTGTTTTTAATATATATTAATGATACATTGCCGATGTGTTTGAATCAGCTGCTCGTCTTTTTGCAGATAATACTTCTTTATTACAGCCTTCGTCTTGTCATGAAATTCAAACAGTATTGAATAGGGATATTGAGTCTTTAAACTTATGATCTAAAACTTTAATCTAGACAAAACTGAGATAATATCTATTTCTAATTCTATTGACAAAGATGAAGATTTAAATTTGAAATTTAATGGAAAAGACTTAAATTTTACAGACCATCATAAGCATCTGGGAGTAGTATTTAATTCAAGCGCAAAGTTAGGGTATCCTATTAATTCCATTTATAGTTCAGTTATGAAGAAAATTAACGTCTTACGGAGATTGAAATATTTGCTAAATAGGAATAGTCTTTAAAAAAATTATAAATCATTCACTTTATCAGTTTTAGAATATGCTTGTGAATTATGGGATGATTTTACTAAATTTGAATCTAAAAAGTTAGAGAAAGCCCAAAGAGAACTTACTCGAATTATATCTGACCTTCCTTCATTTGCCCGTATCGAAGATTTACATTTTGAAACAGGTTTAGAAACTCTTTCTAATCGTCGAAAACGTAGAAAACTCCAATTTGTATATAGAATGCAAAACAACTTAACTCCAGATTATTTAAACGATCTCCTGCCACCTAGTATTGCAGAAAATAACAGGTACACTCTTAGAAATAACTGTGATTATAGAGTTCCTCTATTTGGGCTTTCTCTTAAAAGCTTTCCTTTATACCTTCCACTCATCGTAGCGCAAACTCGATAGATCTATCAGTACCATCGTTGCCTTCTATACATTCTTTTGAAAACTCTCTTACTTCGAATGTACAACCATCCCCTCCTATCTACTTATGTTTTGGAGAACGTAATTTAAATATCATACATACTAAACTGAGGCACAATTGTAGTTCCCTTAATTATGACCTTTACAGATTTAATCTTGTCGAGGGTCCATTTTGCATCTGTGGACATCCATGTGAGAATGCCTTTCATTTTTTCTTTGAGTGTCAACGTTTTAGCAACGAAAGGCGTATTTTGTTTCAGAATGTGAATGCCTTAGGTATCGATTTAAATTTAGAGCTTCTTTTGATTGGCAGTTCAGATCTTTCGGTGGACCTTAACCTTTACGTTTTTAGACATATGCATCACTTCATCGAATCCAGCAAAAGATTTTGAACGGTGCTTTTTTAAAGTTGTGTAATTGTACCTGTGTGGAAATTATATATATATATATCTAATTCATGTTTATACCTATTATCATTGTTGACATTTAATTGTTAATGCATGACGGAAGAAGGCTGTGATAAGTTGTAATAACTATTGCCCAATCCCTTGTTCAATTTTATTGGCAATAAATATGTTTAAAAAAAACAAATTTAATCAAAGACATATAAATTGTATCAAATACACTTTTCTTATCATGGCTGAATAGGGAAATGTTTGCTTTTCGCCTTTTTGCCTTTTCGCTTTGTCGTGGTGACCAAGTGACAAAGTGCAGTTTCGTTTTCCTAAGCGATGCTTTTTCAGCGTCAAAGCGCTGTCCAAGAAAAAGAATCGGGGCTTGTTTACTTCGTGACCACGACGAATCACCATATGGAAAGTATTTTTTAATCAGTTTCTTTTGAGAATGACAACAAAATGGGACTAATTTCTCCTTTAGCTCATGTATAGTTTTGATGAAATACCGACCGAAAAGCCGAGTTTTCTGGATTGAAATTTAATAGGAAAGCGAACTTTAAATGTAGTTTGGTTCCTTGATTACAGCGTGGTTTTTAACTTGTCTTCTACACAGAGGCTACATACTGTACGTTTACCAACCAGTGGAGTATAAGATGTGCCTCAAACTTGAAGTAGCCCATGAAAGGAGACACTTGTATTAATATCTTAGCGAACAACTGGTACATCTGACATTTATTCCTTATACATAGCACGCCGTCCAATATATTTCGGATTAACAAAAACTATTTTTTAATTCTATACCCTACACTTATTTACGTTGTCTATGAAGTACGTTGCCTGTGATTACCGTTGCAAAAATAAAGGAAAAAAAGCATTGCTTTCTCTGATATTTTAATATTTTTTGCCAAATTAACACACTCTATGTACACGGAAATCAAGTCGTCAATCCCAAGCCTCTTGTATGGATCGTATTGGGTTTAGTAACCTCCGAAACCTGCAAACAAAAATGCTGATTTTACAAAGGGTAGATTACAATTATATGTGGACGATTATATATCACATAATATTCATTCGTTGTCTAGGAATCGATAAATAAATACATATACATTTTAATCATGTTTGCTGAAATCATAATTCTTTCGACTCGAGTATAATGACACTTTAAAGGATAAATAATATACTCTATGGAAATGTCGAAATGTATCTACAATAAATGCTCATGCGCAACGAAGGATAAAATTGTTTGAAAATTCTATAAATAGATCGTCACGAAGACATTTCCCATATAAAATAATGACTTACCTGATTTCTTTCCTCTTCCGAATCCTCCGCCGATGTATCCACCCTTTCCACCGCCGAATCCACCGTATCCACTGCCGTATCTATTACCATATCCACCTCCAATAACGTGTCCGCCATTTCCGTATCCGCCGTTTCCGTATCCACCGTAACCACCGTAACCCTTGGACACTATCACCCTCTTTCCGTAACCTCGTCCGTACCCTTTGTATCCTCCAATACCTCCGTATCCGCCCTGTCCGCCATAGTAAGACGAACCTCCGTATGATCCGTATCCTTGGCCGATTCCATGTCCGATTCCTTGTCCGATTCCGTGTCCGATTCCGATTCCATGTCCGATTCCTTGGCCGATTCCGATTCCGTGTCCGATTCCGATTCCGTGTCCGATTCCGATTCCTCCAATGTAATCGTCATCGTTGTACCAGTCCTGGGACATGGCGGCAACCAGACACACAGCAAGAACGACTAATCTCAACATGATTATGATGGGTATCTGTAAGAAAACAAAACAGACGGCTACAGTGAAAAACACGGTTTATGGCTTTTTACAAAGGTCTAATAATGCAACACAAGGAAGTTGATTTCCAAATGAAGTTACCTTAACCTACATTTAAATCTGTATTGGTTTCCAACAATATAGTTTACACCGGTTTTATGAAGACAGCTTAAGGGATGTTCAATGTATAAGTAAACACTGTACAAAGATAAACTTGTATGCTTTAATCGAGAATTTGTATCTAAGAACTGGTTTCATTTACATGTAAATTACAGTGACCTTTTTGCAATGTTTTTTGTACGAGATAGAAACATATATTTCACTTACCTTCCTGTAGTCGGGGAATATATGTCAGCTCTTGATTCGTGGATGGAAAACGAATAACAACAGTTGAGAACATCGCCTCTTATATCCCGGTCCTGTAGTTATGCAGCGAGCCATTTTTCAATGAAACTTACATATATCCGCAATAACATGCGTGTAGCTTCCGTTACGTAACCACCCCCGGGGGACAGCACCTATTGTCCTGTTGTGCGCTCATATGACAAAATGGACATTGACGGGCCGAAATAAGGTTCCACAGAACTAAGACAGGCGAGCGGACACTTCTTGTCATTCGATTCATTAATAGCAATATACATGTAATTAGTGTTTGTCAGTTATGACAGACTACTCACTCTGCGTCATTGTAGCTCGGTCTTAGTTGCATAAGGTATGGATTGCAAACTTTATGAAAGGTCAAGCTAGGTCCATATTATTATAACTCATGTATGACGCAAAACAGGAAAACACGCCTGTTCCCCACTTTTTCTGAAAGCATTTCAAACCCCTAATTAATGGTTAATTAATAAATGCCAGTTTCAATTATTGTCGGCGATTTTTGGTGTCAAGAGTATGCTACAGTACCTTGTGTACCCAACCTGAAACCAGACCACCCGAATTATAGCAATGGGAACTTCGCACAAAACAAGTAGGCAATTATACAGGAAAAAGATTTTTCGCAATTATCATTTTAATCAGTTGTTCGGAAAACATGAAAATGAAGTTGCAGACTTTTCCTGAACAAAAATATAACATACGCGCATAGCCATAATTCTAGAAAGTTTGGAAAACATTCGTTTACGCAAGGAACGATTCGTGGGGTAAAACCCACAAAAATACTGTTTTTAAACAAAAATAATGAGATGTGAACTTTAAAACTAGAATCATACGTGTTTTTTTCTATTAATAAGCTGACTATAAAAAACCTGTTTTAAGTATAATGTCAAAATAAACTTGTATGTCTGTGTTATATTTTTCGAGCTTTTTTTAATACAATTAATCTCTTACGGAACATATACTTTTTTTTTTATTTAACCATGGGAAGTTTGTGCACGCCTACAAAGCTTATATCACTGGATTTTAGCCCTGATAAATGACTGATGTTATATTACTTAAATTATGATGTCATAGATGAAGATTAAGAATTTGATTTAAGTTGGGTAAATTTAAGTTATCACCATACTGCCAAATGGTTTCAAATTTACTTCAAGTGACAGGAAAGGGGATCGCGAGGTTTTATATATTTGGTCCTGGTATCATCAACGGTCTGAACTCTTAAGAACATTCTTAATTTAAATATTCCTAAATTTCGCACACATTCTCCAATTATCCTAGAGTTACATATGTTTTGCAATTCACCAACTGTTTAAGTCAAGATGCGATTTATTAACATAACATGTTGCTTTTTAACCATTTTAATTAACGTTTGAGGAAACATGATCCTTAAAAAATAAATTGGACTGAATTGAGAATTTAAAGCATTCTTAAAGTAAAACACTTCATAGAATATAAGGCCGGGCATCACGAATATAAACGACTTCCGAACACTCATTTATAAAACGAAGTCGAGGTACATGTACTCTTAGATAGTTTACAACACAGCTGTTTTAAAAGTATTAGTGTATATTCAAAATGTATTGGATGACCATGTACTATTTTCTTTCTATATTCCCAAAAGAAGATGACATATTATAATTAATTGAAACTGGTATATCGACTCTTTCTAGTCGGGGATAAACAACAAAGTTCAGCTCTTAAATAAATATTTTTCCAAACCTCACCTGATCATTTTTTTAGAGAAAATAATATATTAACTGGAATAAAAATCTTACAAACCAGTAAAGAGACATCATTTTTTCTATGAGTGTACACGTTTTGACAGTCAAATAACCATCATGTTGTGAAGGTTCAAATGCAGGTTTGGGTGGTGGAGGAATGCCGGAGTACCCAGAGGAAAAACACCGACCTGCGGCCAATGCCTCGTTAATGTAGGCCTCGAACCCGTCACTTCATCGAATCTAGCAATACTTTATTTTTTATTTTTTTTGATATTTATATATTAGTATTTGCCTTTCATCACTATGTCTGCTTTCATCGCTATCATGCTAGTATATTTATGGGCGACCATTCCACAAATTTCTTTCATTGTGTTTATATGATCTATTCAAAGAAGTTTGTTAAAACGTGGCATATGATTAGCTCATAATTTAAGTCTGTTTGATCATTCTTTTGTAACNACAAGACAAGACAAAATATATATGACATTGTTCCTCAGTACATGATTGTTCATACAATTTAAACAAAGATCATCATCATCATCAGACATCATCATCATCATCATCATGTAAGATATTATTATTAACACGTAAGCAGATATTAAGCAAAAAATTGCCAATGTCATGTACATACATAAAGACATACACCGAGACACTGATGCAAAAACAATATATATAAACCTATGACATCAAACACACAAGAGAAAAAACAAATAAACTGAAACAGAAAAAAACCCACAAAACACAAAACATAAAACATTACAGGGGATGGGGAGCACTGAGCACAGAAATGAGTTGACTTTGATTATTTTGAAACATAAGATATATTCTTTAATTTCTTTTTGCATTTACAATGTGAATATAATGCAATAAATAATTGTTGAAATAAATTTTAGAAACAAGTTTCAGAATTTATATAAATTCATCTCCTGTTGAAGATATACATATGAAAGAGGACCAAAATTATGATGGATGACTATAATATTTGAGAAAGAAATATGCAGCAATATATATGGGTTAAGAACAGAACGAAAGGGAGGGTAGGATAGGAAACAAAGCAAAAACATAGTTGACCGACCAGATATACCCTGTGTTAAATAAAGGTAAAGAGATAATAACACGGAGAATGCCACAGAAAATGACAGGTGTATGTTGAAACCTCATTAAAATATGTTTGAGCCGATAATGAAGTTATGACTGCACAATTCATTTTGCTGACCATGATGACTGACCATGAGAAATCTTGTCATACACTATTCTATGACATATGTTCGTAATGCTACTAAATCATGTATTATCTAACGTTAATTATATACTTAGGTCATGCGAAACATGATTTCTCTTTTATTAGCCGTGCAGAGGCTTGCCTGTCTCACAACAAGATGATTGTGCCTCTGACAACACACAAACATCATAGAAAAATACTCGAGTAACTTATTTCAGCGGTATTCATATGTAAAACCAGTGGCCGTGTGATCGCAATGAATACATTAACTTTATACCAAGTGTCCTTTCTTGACATGTAATGTTGTTTTAATAGACTAGACATGTTTTAAATATTATTGCACTTTTCAGCTTCAATGTTGAAAACATGTCTGGTGCATTCATAACGTCACAGAATGTTATAAAAATGGCATATCCTCTAGAGATCATTTGCCGATTTAAGAAACATAGTCTTTATTTTCTTATTCATAATCTTCTAAAAGATATTTCCAGTGAATCTTTTTGTAATTCTAGTAGTCTCTCAAGGCAGCATATATCTTGATTTGAGACTGGTATGGCCCTCCACAGCTAGTAAAATAGAAAATAAGCTCCGCATGATATAGGTTCATGCACAATGTATATACAAATGCGATTTCATAGTGTTTCATACCGTTTAGTTGCGTCGCTTAAGAGATTGACATGTCATAAGTCCCGCGACTAATTTTACGGGAAAAAATAGCCTTAATGCCTCATTATCTACAACGTTAGCCTTGCTATACAACGTTTTAATAACTATGTACTCATTATATTAAAATTACTTATATGAATTCCGATATTTAATTGGGTTCTTTGAATATGAGTAATCAGGGGTTGGAGAGATTTAGGGGGACTATAGCCTTTCATGGGGCTTGTTGAACCTTAAGAGCTGAGAATTGAGCCTTGAGGGATCCCAGCTTTAAAGAACCTATCTCCGAAAAGGATTTTCCAACTAAATTTCTTGATATTTTGTAATCAATTCAATAAATCATCAGTAATACCTATGGGCTGTAATTAAACAATAATACTTTTATTCCGAAACATGCCAATCCTTCAATAAACCAAACAACACATTGAGGCATGCTTCTATAAGACATGAGTAATATTCTTAATCTGGACAAACACAATGAAATACATCAACTGATATACTGTGAAATGACTTGTCATGAATCCTGATTGGTGTTCATAAAATAAAGAATAATCCAGAAGACGTTTCTGAATATATTTCAAAATGACTCTCGGGAAACCATTAGCTACCATAGATAACAGAGATATCGCTCTATTATTTGAAGCATCACCAATGTTTCATACAGAGGCAACACTTCTGCTTTCTGAGCTTTAGGATCAATTTCCACTTTTAAGTGAAAGATTATTTAGTAATAGTAAATGTTTACAACAGTATTGGCAGTGTATCTGAACAAACGGTGACGTATACCGTTGTTTCCTGCTACTTGTCCAAATTCCAATATTCGTAAAATGTCTATTATCTCTGAGTGTTTGACCTTAATAGTATGGAGACGACTCTCTGTCATGAACAAAAGGAATTTCTACATTGTCAACAACAATTTAATACGTAAATGAACAAAAGCAGGAATTAAGAACGTTCCATAGGTCATCGTCCTGTATTAAACAGTAATACTTTCTTCCGTAGGATGTACTATAGATGGAACTTGTCGAGCTGATCAAACTGATTTCCTCAGACGTTTGATTAATCTCCAACACGATCTTGGATATGTAGACGAGTGTTGGTGTAAGATTCAGTCAATACTTTTATGAAAGTCCAGACAAGCTTGTTCTCCGTGGTGTTTACCATGTTAGCTTGTGTTTTATTTTAGAATTTCGACAGACTTGCGAGATGACCTAGCTCTCCTATGACACCTATCCCTGACTGTGATGTTTATCCTTAATTCAGAAATCATCAAAGTTTATCACCTAGTCTAACAGTAACTTAAATCTGTGCTGGACATACATATACAAGCTTTGGCAAATAAAAAAACTACATTTATGCCTACTCCACATAAAACTCAACGCAGATATAGAATTGAATAAGGCCATCATTATAACAATTCATTATAATGATATCATGACACAAACTATGAAA